ACACACACACACACACACACACACACACACACACACACACACACACACACACGGGACAGTAAGGGCTGGAGTCATACTCACAGATGAACTCATCTGGCGTCTGTTCAGCCATTATGCCAACCTACAGAGAGGGAAAGTGTTTGCATGTTTACCAGAGAGCCGCAGCCTGGTCGCACTCAGTTTTACTGCACATTTACACGAAGGAAGTACTTTAACGAGTGTTTCAGGATGTAACTGAACTTCTGAGCCTGCTCATCGTTTAATGTGGGACCCTTCAGGTGTACGTGAATGCATCAGCCCTACCGGCTGTACACTAGTGCCTTATGGAAACATTAACTGGTTTTTGTTCTACGCGAAACAGTTGACGCGTGTATTTGAACATATGCAGCCCGGGGAATAGACGGGATCCAGGATTTGAGTCGTTCCCAAACTCTAGCCGGGTTTTAACTCCGATCTGAGCGGCTGCTCTTTGCTAAAATGTAACAAAGAACAGTCGGCATGGCGGATGGACCGGAGACGCAAACCCCCAAACCGGAGTCAATGCTATTCAACGGCCGCCAGTGTGTGGTGGAGGCGTTTCGAGTAAACTCGGACCGAACCGGACGGATCAGCTGCACCTTTACTACCAAACTGCGTCTCCATTTGGTAGAAAGGCGGCGTGTATTGGTCGGGAAACACGTTACCTTTTCTGCAAAACCCCTTCATTTACCAAATCCTGACTCCGGGTTCCAATCCGCTCCAGAAACGGCGCAGGACCGGAAACGAGCAGCCCCGACTGCATTATGGGAAATGTAGGCGCAACACAATGGCGCTAACCTAGGACCTACTACCTCATCCGTGTAACAGTTTTTAGTCTTATAGAAACTGCAGAAGTTAACAAAAGTGTGCACAAAATACTAAAAGGCAGCATGTTAGCGTAAGCTGCTGCTTATAACTACTTCATCAAACTTCCGACAACGTTTGCTCTACAACAACGTTTCGCTTTCTGTTTCAATCCTAACAACACATTTAATGAAAATTATATTTCAGTGTCAAGAAGCTTTTTACAATGTTGTCTTTATACCAAAATGTCTTTCTATAAGCAAAGTGATGAAACACGTGGAGCAGTGCGAGTTACTAAACTGTACTAGTTAAATATTTGGAGTTTCTTTGACATTTTCTCTCTTTTGAATTTTTGATTAATATGGACTCTTTTTTGAGATTAAGTAAGCCCACTTATTATATTTGTTATAACTTCACAGTTACTAAATTCTAATATGATAAACTATATAATAAAACTGTAACTTTTATGTTAGCACTCAGAGTGGGCATGTCTGAAGGACTGTACTAACAGCTGACAGATCGCCTGTGTGGCCTGTCATAGTTGTTGCATGAAGTTGTGATAGTCTGGACATGTGCAGAGGACAGATAGTGAAGGTTGGACCATTGAGGCAATGAGTTGCCTTAATTATTTGAGGTCTGACAACAACAGACATTTACTAGTTGTTCTAGGGGATTAGAAAAATATAGACATAAAAGGCACAATATACTCACCAGCCACTTTGCTACATCCAACTGCTTCATTCATTTATTAATGCAAAGACCCAGTCAGCCAATAACATGGCAGCAACTCAGTGTGTTGAGGCATGTACAGATGGCTAAGACGGTCTGTTGAAATTCAAACCAAACATCAGAAGGAGGAAGAAAGGTGATTAAAGGGACCTCCACAATTGTGGCTTTGTTGTTGGTGACAGACAGGCTGGTCCGAGTACTTCACAAACTGCTGATCCCACACGACCATCTCTACAGTTTACAGAGAAAAAGTCAGAAAAAGAGAAAATATCCAGTGATGTTTAATTTAGGCTAAAGCTGAATGGCCAGACTGGAAGACTGTAAATCAAATAACCACTTGTTTCAACCAGAAGAGCATCTCTGAATGCAGGTTGGCCACAGCAGCAGAAGACCACACGGGGTGCCGTGCTGTCGGCAAAGAACAGGAAATCAAGGGTACAATTTGCGCAGGCTCACAAAAACATAGCCTAGTCTCAATTTCTGCAACCACGTGTGGATGTGGAAGTTAGTATAAATAACACAGCAGCATGAATCCACTCTGTCTTGTATGGTTCAGGCAGCTGGTGGGGATGTAACGGTGTGTGGGATAGTTTGTTAACACTTTGGCATCGTTTAAATGCCCGAACCCATCTGAGCATTGTTGCTGCCCAGCCTTTATCACCACAGTGTATCCATGTTGATAATTCACCGTGCTACAAAGCTCATGTCATGTCTAACTGATTTCTTGACAATGAGTTCACTGCACTCAGCCTTCACAGTCAATCCATTAGAGCCCCGTGGTGCTGTGGTGGAACATGTGCAGTAACTGTGAGAGGAGTTATAAAATCTCTGAGAAATGTTTCCAACACTTCACTGGTGTGAAGAATTAATGGAGTTCTGAAGGCCAAAGCCGGTCCAGCAGTATTGGCAAAGCGTTCCTAATAAAGTGTCCAGTGAGCGCATTTCTGATGCAGATGTTTAAAGTAGCATAAACTGTAAACATGTAAATACAGAACAAACTGAACTAAAGTAAGTACAGGTTTCCATCCTGTGATACTAATTTCACTAAAAGGAAGTTAAACAGCAAATCAGATGAACGGGTCACGTGATAGCCAGAACATCGACATCACCACAGTCTTAGTTATTCAATCAATATTTATTGCTTAACTCAGTATGTATAGTAGTTACAGTCCCTGCAAGGAAGTGACTGACGCTTTGCAGCAACAGTTAATCAGCCACTTTCTGCGCACACAGAGCAGAAAGACAAAAAACATCAGGAAGCAATTCATTAATCTCCTACAGCCCCACTGCTTACTGCACGACAGCAGTTAACGCTTGCAGGCTGTCAGAAGCTGAGCTCGATTTAAAACAATCCGTTTCCCTCTATTCCTCTCCTCAGAGTTGGAAGGTGCTTCTGTCTGAATGATTATTTTCTCGGCCTTTTCTTTCTATGATTTTCTCTTTTATTTGTTTTTAAACAGACAACAGTCAGTGACGGTGGATTAAAGCAGATCGTGTAATTATGAATACAAAGACACCCACGCAGGATCCGCAGAAGAGAATTATTGTGAAGAGCAAGAGTGTTTTAATATCTCAGGTAGTCGAATATTGTAAACAACCCAGTCAACAGATATGTTAAGTGCATAGGCTTATTGATTATAGAAACTGCTGATGATGCAGAAACACAGTGGTATGCTTGCCTGATCAGAGCCAATCCAACAGGTCACCACAGACACTCAGGCCCACTTGTCTGATAGCGGCTGCAGCCAAAGTCATGTCAAGCTGAGGAACAAGACTCGAGCAGCTGGGACATCATTCACAGAATAACTGTAAGGCAACCATTCAGCTCTCTGAGCAGAATAACAAACAGTAGTTAACATGATGTACAGAAACAAGCTGCTCACAGGAGGACAAAAAATACAATCATTAGCTGGATTTAAAAAAAAAAAAGCAGCAGCCACAAGACCTGGTTGCTGTCATAGGTGTTCACACTTTTCTTTTGTTCATGTGCACATCTTTTAGAAACACGTAAAATGACAGAGCAGTTCATGCTATTGAAATGTAAGGAAGGATCCGTTTTATTAGCACAAGTACGGCCGCGTGTCTCGCTGCGGTCCCTGGATAAAGCTTCAGTTCCCTTTCAACACAACAACAACTCTGCGGTAGTGTACAACAGGAGACAGTTGCATATGATTCGAAAACACCCTGCTTCTTTTTTGAAATTGACAACCAAGGCAGAAATTTTTAGTCTTACACATGTCATGAACACACTGGATCTAGCTTTATTTGGGAATATCATCGAGTAATAAACAAATGATTTCATATTAGTGTCAACAAGTAGTCATGCTGCTCCCACGTACAGCAGTCTTGCAGTGAAACGATCGTCTCCCTTTGTGAATGAACTACAGTCTCTTGCACAAGAGTTGCTCCTGTCATTGCACTTTAATTTAAAAGGTACTAAAAACTGTGCAAATCATACAAACACCACTCGGCTCTTCGTCTTTGGTCCTGTTGAGTCACCGTAGGCAACTTACGGTTTACAGCAGGGAGAGTTTTGAATCCGCCCTCAGCTTTCAGTGAGGTAAAGAGTGATGGCGCGCGGCGGTCCCTTCTGTCCATAACACAGCTGTAAAAGCACTTAAAGATTTTGAAATGTTGAATAAAATCAAATAAAAAGGACTAATCTCTGAAATCAATCCAGGGCAGGATCATCCACACATGCACACGCTTGCTGTTGGTGGCTTCTTATTTGAAGCCTTAAAATATCACTTTTTTTGTTGCCCATCCACAGTGCAGCAGCCCCAGTATGCAGGTCAGCCATTAGAGGGGAGTAGGTTAGTCAAGATGTTTGCCAGTGCAATTTGAGGTGGAGGTGATGATGGTAGTTGAAGTGGTAGGGACTGAGGTCAAGGTGAGCGAGGGACAGTGGGGGGGTCACGCGTGTGGCTCCCCCACAGAGGTAGAGCCGTTGGCTTTACTCTTACTCTTACTCTTGCGGTTGAGCATGCGGCTGAGCGTGGCTGTTCGGCTCGCTCGCTCCACTGCGGCCGGAGACTCCAGGTAAACCAGGTCATTGTGTGACTGGCTCATCCCCGGGTCTTTGCGCTGGTGACGACGTCGGAAGAAGAGCTTGGCGCTCTTCTGCAGGAAGCTGCCTGTGGCAAAGAAGAGGAAAGGAAGCAGCCTGAGACGTGGATAGTGTCAAAGTGACACCACTCAAGGAGACGTCATTACTACAGATAAAAAACAGGCACGAGTAGTATTGGCCTAAGCAGTAATGGAAAAACTCATTTAAAATAAACAAATCAAAAGCTAAAGCAGCAGTGGTACAGAATCGGTGTTAGTTGGAAACTGTTACTGTGAAACACTTGCTGTGGATTGGATGAAAAATGTGGCTTAAATAGCAGCAGAGCTGTAATATTGTGTTTAATCACCAGCTAACACATACTAATCTGTACCAACAGAGAGCAGCCTCATAGTCCAGCCTGGCTACAAGCACCATTCCTCTGCTTCCACACTTAAGGAGCTCCTGGGTTATCCTCAGTATCAGTGGATTAGTTTAGTCAGTACAAAACAATAGAAACTCTAAATAGTATCAAAACAAATAAATGACAAAGAAAAAAGGAGGCATTCGTGTCCTCAACTTGTAGCACACTCCTAAAGAAGAACGCAGAACAGCATCAGATCTTCTCTAGATGCTTTTGGACCAAACACGAGGGGAACCGCCCACTGGAGGGAGCGACCCTCAGAGCCTTCGTTCTGTGTGCAATAGGACCTCTAAAAATGTGTGACACGTCGCACAACAAAAGCTACAAATGACTGAGGGCGTTGTAATCAGAGATGCGTGTTTGCCGGGTTTCAGTGGTAGCGTGTCAGGCGCTAAAACTGATAAGCTCAACGGTTACAACCAGCCTGAGGAGGAGGAGGGGCTCGCAGTGGCGCTCTTCACCTGCTATGATTCTGCAGCGTCACAGCCAAACGGTGGAGCTGTGTGTGTGCTGCTCTGACACAGTCTGTCAGGTGTTGTATTTTCTTGTCAGCTTCTACATTTCTGCTGCACATTGCTCCATCGTGTGTGGATCCCTCAGGCAGCAGTTTCAGAGGAAATACGGGCAAAGTTGCTCTTCAGCGAGTAAACATCTTCTTGCGTTTCCTCTAAACTTCAGTTTGTCCATTTTTTTTTTACTGAAGCAGCAGTTAGCATGTTATAGCTATGTGTTACTTATACAGCTGACGTTTTTTACTCAAAGTTTCCTCTTGTGACAGAGAGTGAAGTGAAGGCGATACAAAAAGGTTTCTAAGAGCTTTTATGGTTTAAAGACACGAAATACTGGAGAACTCCTACATGGCTTAAAGAGTTATGATCAAGTTCCTGTGGTCCGAAAGCACCTGCCAAGTGACTGATATTTCATATTGCAAGTGAAATAAATACCGAAACATTCACGGCACTTCATCTGTGTTGTACAGCCACAAATAAAAGACAGTCGCTGCTCAGAAAAAATTAAAGGAACACTTTTTAACCAGAATAAGTTAAATAATTCAGCTTAACTTCTGGGATATTGATCTGGTCAGGAAATGAAGTTAACAGAGCACAAGACGGGCAACAATGAGACAGTCCCCATTTCTACCAGTGATGGGTCCAGACCTGGGAGGAGATCCCCGGGACGGATGATCTGATATCCTCATGTCGGTGTTGTTCCCTCGCCATCATAAATAATGTTGTTCCAGGTTCAACATTGCAAGTGACCAGTCACATTGTTGTGACGTCCCCCTTTTGTGCCTTTGAAAAATACCGCCTTAAAAAATCTACTTCACTTGCAAGAAGAGAAACTGCTTCGGTCTGCCGATCCAGGAACTTGAATTCTTTGCATTTCAGGATACTTTCCTTTAATAAACATTATGCATTATACATATCGTCCTTACAGAGGCGGTTTCTCTTCTCGCAAGTGAAGTAGATTTGGTTTTTTTTTTTCGAGGTCGCGGATGATGTCAGGAGAAGGTGAGTGGTCACTTGCAATGTTGAACCTGGAACAACATTATTTATGATGGCGAGGGAACAACACCAACACGAGGATATCAGATCGTCCTCCCCGGGACACCATCCATCACCTCATTAGGAGCCCAGAAGTTGTCAGTCATGCCTACAAACACAAGGGGGCGCCATACAAATGACTGAGGACCATTTTGAGTTGTTCCAGTCTTCGATTTTTGGGCCGTCTTTGAATTGGTTGATCATTTTCAGTTTCATCAAACGATGCGGCACCCTTTCATCCCTAACACATTACCCAGTGTCACTAAAGATATCAGCATGATTTTTTCTCCAATCAGAGCTGATGTTTTTTCAAAGTATTCCTTTAATTTTGTGAGCTTTTTTTTTTGCAAACTGATTTTAGAGGAACTACAAAAGTGAATCTCACCTTGTAGAAAAACACTGTTATCTATTCTACTGCTAACAGAAACTACAGAGATTAGAATACCAAGAATACTACAAGTAACTCATGAAGTAACTTACTCATACAATGTGTGCTTAGCACTGCTTTCCTCTAAGGTGGCAGTGACGACAGTTCGAAAAGGAAAGGTTCAAAGAGTAGAGGGGAAGCAGAAAGGAGAACACAAAGAGAGAGTGCATAACGAAGGAGTGGCTAACAAACCCCAAACAGCCAAAACAGATCAAGTTCTGCTTGTAAAGGCATTATTTTCCTTTTCAGGATTGTAAGGTTTAATAATACTCCTGTAAAGATTAAAAATGCATCGAGAGGTTTCTCACCTCTGCTCTTCTTGCAGCTCGCCTCAGACACACACATGGACAGTGAAGCATTGTCTTGTTCCTCGCCAGTTTGGCTCTCCCAGTCCTCCGGAGGCCGCCCTTCAACTCTGGGACCTTCCGTGGGCTCCGACATCTCCGGAGGGGTACTAGTCCCCGATGCGATCGCTGTGGTCACATCCTGAGTAGAGCTGCTCTCTGACATTGATGCGTCCATTGCTGCAGCGTAACCTGCCATCATAGCCAGCTCATCATCCTGAGACAGAGGCGTCTGGGAAATAAATCACATTCCCATTAAAGCCATATTTGTTGTGGAGCTAGTGTGGAAAGCCCAGGCACAATGAAGGGTGCTAACAACATGAGAAGGCCCTCGCTGCTGCAGACAAGGCACGGGCTTCCATTCAAAATCCACTTCTCTCCTCTGACGTTATGAACCACAGGTTATGGAACAGATTAGCTTAAAAAGCACTCGAGGAATCTGAGTTCCAGAGTATCAAACATGCAAGATTGGCTCCAGCTGTGCTTTTGTGCTATTTAAGCTGAATTACATTAAGTGGAAAAAGTACAAGTACAAGGAGCTCATAATTACTTTGGCGATGCCCGAGATGATGATGGTACTCTTCTTCACCGGGGACTTGAGCTTCTGTTTAGCAGACTGGTGGAGTTGTCTTATGGCGGCTTCGGCCACAGGGTCTGTCCCATTGAGCATCAACAGCTCCGTGTCGGAGGAGGACAGGGCCTTACTCACAGTGCCCCCTAACATAGACACCTGCTCGGAGACGCGACGCTCCCCCAGCTTGGGCTTGTTGACCACGGCCTTCTGGGCAGGATCTGAGGAAGCAAGAACGTCTCACTGTAGTTTCATTCATGTAAAGGACTTTCAGAACATTCAATTTTGTCAAATTATGAAAATGACCGAGTTGAGTTGCCAACTAACCAGCATCTAAAAAGCTGACTGGGGAACTGTGCTACTCTAACTTCCCTCTATTAAAAAAACAAACAAAAACTCCTGAAGCAACTCTAACAGGATCATTTATTATACAATACAGCTGTGTAAGGAATGTGCAGCGGCCTCACAGTTTCCAGGGCTTTACCTATATTGAGTGGGAGTGGTCGACCCGGCTTGCTCTTCACCGCTGTGATCGTGGTAACCACTGTGCCACAGGGCATGACCGTGCGGTCCATCTCCACCCTCTTATTAGAGGCTGGGGTAGGAGGTTGCCAAGACCTCACCTCACTCGGCTCCAGGTAGGTAAACTGAAACACACGATTCAAGTTACTACCCAAACTACGTGTAAATGAAAACAAGAGACACGTGGAAGGAATTCATCGAAATCTGGTGATATTAAAGGAAAACATGCGATAGAAAATGAGCTTTTTAGGTCTTACGTCAGTAGTCAGTGATCCGGTCACTACATCTTTGGTCACGAGTTCAAATGTACGCTGTCCTTTGGGGTGCTTCTTCACAAGATCAAAAGGCACCAACACCTGACCAAGTAAGGACTCTGAGACAGAAAACAGCTGATTTAGCCTGCTACACAGAAACACGCGCTACGAGAGGCACAACGTGTGAACTGCGTTAGTGGTGTGCGATACTGCATGTGTTGATATCGATCCGATACCAAGTCAATACGGGCCAGTATCGCTGATGCATCTCAATTCATTCTCATGACCTTCTGTTTTTTTTGTGACGTTTCCTTTTTTATTATTAAACAGTTAAAACTCAGGACATGATTACGACAAAGTTTATAATTAAATAGAAAATGCTTTATTATTGATTTTTTAAAAGAAAAATCTGAAATAAAAAGTGCTCGCAAACCAGTAAACAAAGTAAAACAAACAAGTACTGTTGAGAAACTATAATACAAAAAATACAATTAAAATCCTCAACAACCGGTAAAAACATACATGTTTGTAAACAACTTAATAAAAGTCACGTCACGTGACAGCGCAACATCGAAACACAAGAGGGGGGAGGGCGAGCAAAGCGGGCCTGCTCTGCGCTGACACGGGAGCGGCGAGTGCGGCGACCTGGCTGTTTCCTCTTTGTCGAAACCACAGCATCGCAAACGACAGCGGAACTTAAAGTAAAGAATCGATCTCACCAGGCTGGTATCGATCCGATACTGATGCCGACTTGGTATCGATGCAGTCGATACTTGGATCACTAAACTACATGACTCTTCATTACAGTAAATGCAACACAAGCATCGACAGGTAAGTGGCCATGGCAGAGTTTTTCTTACTCTCTGGAGGATGTCCATCGTTCATCAACTGAATATTGAGCTCCTTCGATCGTCCATTCAGTTCACTGGTGAGAGAAGAATATTTTACATGTGTGTGAACGGTGTTGTTCATCAGAACCACCTGCAGTGGAGTCAGCGTTCACACTTACAAAATAAACGGCTGGTCCCAGGCAGGACTCGTCGTGTTCTTCGAAACAGAAGTGTTGAACCTCTGAGGAGGATCATCTAACTGCAGCACACACAGAGGATTCATGCTGCCTGCGAACACAAAGTGTCACCCAAGAGCTGACTTTAAAGCTTTCTTTCTTTCTTTTTGTGGTCAGCCACTTCCACTCCCTCACTCTAATGGATAAACAGGGATCACTTCACAGAGTATATATGATGAATTATGCAGAGATTAGAGGAGGCTAAATGAGCACACATTTTCTTAAGCACTTATATGAATTTTAGTGGCCACAAGCTGTGAATCAGAAGCCTCACAGATAAGATTCAGTGCTTTACAATACAAATTATTAAACAACACTTAAAACAATACAAATGAATAAAACGACATAAAAGCCTGCACGACCGTAAACACCCAGCAGACAGTGACTGATTTTCAATAAAAGGAAGGAAGATGTATATAGTGAAGTGTCAAGTGCTGTGTCATGTCTCTGCTGTGCAATATGGAGTCAGACCGAACGCTTTCGGGGACGTCTGCAGCCCCGACAACTGCTGACTCACACTCAGAGAATGACTCATCACAGGAACTACCCAAACAAAGTTGTTGTGGGTGGTCTAAGACTTCATTACTGGACAATCGTGTTAACAGCCTATCATCAGCACAATCTATCAAATGCTCTCTGGCCTCATACATGACCACACCCTGGCACTTTGTTTATGTGCAGGTCTGTACCACCACGCTGGGCGTTGTCTTACTGTTGTGGGTGTATTATTAATATACTGCCATCATTGTTTAGCTTTGACCAGTGGATTACCTAAAATGGAGGGGTGGGAGTGGGGGGGGCCTTGTCATGCAGCGTTGGCAAAGTAAATATCAGCCATGCTGGAAGCACAGTCCCACTGCTGCTGATTCATTACCAAAGTCAGCTACCCTCTAAACAACCTTCTCATTACATCGTCGTGGTAATGCAAATAAAGAGCGGGCAGCTAAACACTGCAAACAGTGCGTGCAGTCTGATGAAGGGAGCTAATTCAACTTTACAATAGATGTCTTTAAAAAAAGTCCTTTTGGTAAAAATACAAAGTCAACACGGCGGGTGTAGGATTCTTTGTTTGTGACATATATTGAAGCTCATGTTTCTCCGCAGCTTAGTGTGCAGGACCCGAGGTAAATATTATCTGTTAATAGAGCGCTTCTGAATGAGTTTACATAGCTGGTGCACAGATAACCAGCGCAGTTATTATTTTCTTATTACTACTTTGCTGACACTCCTGCTGATGACGCTAATGCTTTTAACATAACAGAACCTCTTGAGTTTTAGACACGCTGTACTTGGACCTAAATGTAGCCGTTAGCATAGGAAACACCATCAGCTTGAAAAATTCAGAATTAACATTAATTTATAAGCAGACGCACGACCGACCTGCAGCATCTTCCTCCTGGTTGAGTGTGACTCGGATGTTTTTCACCAGCAGCTTCCACTCATGGGCGCGTGGGGGCTTTGGGGGCGATACCACTTTATTCTGGCTTTCCTATTGGAGAGAGCATGCAGTGAGTACATACATAAACCTACAGCACAGATTTAGTGAGCGCAGCATTACGAGCAGTACTGGAAGCACGTAAACGAGCAGAGGCCTGAGTATGCTCGTGTCTTTAAACGAGAAGCGTCTTCATGTTTGAACAAGGACTCTCTGCAACACGACCCCGTTTCCACTTTCACATGTTGATCATTTGCATTGGCCTTTCTATGATCAGGGAGAATTTGCATCAGAAGCACCGCTGATGAATTTGCATTACAAACAGGCATCGTCTACAGACAAATGTGATTTGTTTTGGTCATTTAAATAGCAGCGTATCTGATGAGCTTAATGCTTAAATAGCTTCAAAGCACTAGTCTTATTTTAACCAGCATGCAAATCTATATGGTTGTTTTATATTACGGCTAAAACTGCCGGCTAATTGATCTTGAACATTTTAAATGTTACGCCACAGAGCGACTATTTAATTTCATAAACCACAAAATTCAAATCATCTGGAAACTGGAGTCCGATGACCAGATATATAAATGTCAATAATATCGACTTTTTTGATCAGAGGAAAGGAAATTCCTCTGATCAAAATAAGAGTTAATCCCACTGCCTCTCATGTAACTCACAACTATATTTGGACCAAAAAAGAAAACTTGTCATCCTGTATCAAGTAAGATCTAATCAGAAACACGTGAAACAGCATCATGTGATGGTGGGTTGTGAATAATAACCTTCAGTGAATCAATGCTGCTTTAGATGAGCATTATTTAAGGTTGCAACAAGAAGCAGTAAGAGCGCAAACCACAGCCAAGGAACTGGCCCTCTGGGCAGCATTACTTTTAAAGGAATCACAATGTATTTTGTGTATCTTCATACTTCTTTGTTATCTATTTTTTAAACTTTTATAGAGCTTTTAGTGCAGTAAAAGTCAGATAATGGCAACATGCATGACGTTTATTGATCATACAAACATTATGTATGAGTAGGTTATGAATAATAACTACTGATTTGCAAATAACTGGACATAAATATAAAACATTATACTACAGCATATTTCAACCTAACCAGGCAGCTCGTTCTCTTGACACTTCTGTCTTTAACACACCTTGGTTCAGCTTGAAAGAAAGGCAGGCGTGGAATGTAAACATGAGATCAGAGGTGAAACGTGACACTGAGATGCAAACTATAATGTGACATTTCAAATCTCCATATACTGGTATCATTTTCTAAACTTACCGATACAAACACAAGCAGTAGTTTCTAAAGATAAAAGACATTTTACGACAGTTTGAAAAGGTCACAGGTCATATTTAGAAAGCTCATACATGCCTATATGTTCTGAATATAACAACTGCTTTAAGAAACATAGTTTTAAGTAGCATAATTATCACTTTGACCCTAAAGGAGAGGTCAGAGTTCGATTCCTACAAGTGTGGTGTTTGTAGTTTCTAAGATGAATTCTCCACTAATAAATCATAAAATTGTTTTGTGTGAGTCTGGAGCGTTCGCACGACCCCCTCTACACCCCGGCTGTCACGTTTACGGACAAAATGACACAAACACCCCTCTCTGGTGGAAGTAATTATGAGTCTGGCAGCCTTACATCAGACGTGACTCGTTCGCTCACCTTGACCTCTGAGGCCTGAGCAGGCCTGCAGCTCAGCAGCACAGAGGGATGCGACACACACAAAAGCTGCTTCAGCTGCTCCTTTATGGCTGCATTGTCCTGACAGAAAGAGATTATACCTCATATTAATCGAGTAAAACTAGAAATGTAAAGTTCTATTTGGTGATAAAACAAATGTCAATTGTTTTAATTCCATTTTTATTGGTTTCTAAATGGTTCGACTACTGTTTGATAATGAAACTAATGAATCTTCCTCTCCACGTCCTCGTTTGCGTGACTAAACACGTTGATGTAACAAAAGAACATGAAGAAATAAACAAAGTGATTTCTATGAAGGCTGTCTGTCACACAATTTCTTTATATTTTGGTACAGCGAAACATTTCTTCCCATGTTAGTGTGTGGCGCATCCTTTGGTTAGGTTTATACATCTGCGATTCTGCTGCTTTAAGATTACCTGAGTGAAAGCGGGCATCACCTGAAGCTCCTCCACCTCTAGATGAGACACTTCCCAGCTTACCTTGACCTTATCTTCAGATTCCTGCATGTGTAGATGAAGCTGGGGAAGAGAAAATAAAGAGCTGCCCTATGACTCATCCAGTACTCATCAAATTCACAGAAAGATGAACTAAAACTGATTCTCTGGAGATGAAGCGATACACCAAACAAGGAGCAGCTCAGTATGTGAGGTGGGCGTGGAGGAACGAAATCAGCGCAGTGTTTCCCGCACAATTCTATTTGTGTTGCAGCCGGTGGTGAGTGGGTGGTGTGCATACCTACCCTTTGTGAAAGGGGTCATATTATGCAAAATCCACTTTTGCATTTTTTAAACATAATTTGCAGTTCTCCAGACTAAAGAGGCATCAAGGATGCTCCGTTTGCAGTTTTCCCTTTCTCCTTGGATCGCAGCGTCTCCCTCAATGAGCCCATCAGATTTGCAGCGGGTTATGATAAGCAACCTCAATGCTCCTCTCCAACCCTCGGTAATAATTCAAATATATCTGAATGCAACCAAGTCCCCAATAAAGCTTATATTTTTCTGTTTGTCTTATCACAAATAGTACAACTCGAACAACAATGAAGCTGTGAGACAAACTCGCCCTATTAGGATGAAAGTATCACTTTTAAGCCATTTCAAAGCGGTCTGTACATACTTATGTTCCACGATGCCATGCAACCACATGACCATACTCGGAAGTTAAAAAGAACAGCTGTTCTGGGATTTTTAATGTGCAAAACAGGTGCTCACAGGAAAAAAAGCCACAGCATATGATCAAATAGTCTTTCCTGTTCCTAACACTGTGAAATGAGATGAACTACGTACATAATAAGAGACAGTCAAATGTTCACAATTCTGAGAAAAAGAAAAAGTGCTTCCTTTCTCATCTGTTAGTGGAAAAAAGGAGAAAATGCTGATCCCAAAGCGCCATCATTCGATTCACAAAAACAAACAACACGACTGACAAGGAACACATCTCGTACCTTTTATCTTTTGAAATGTTATTGATGTGTTAAACACTAATCACCACTCGCCAATCTGCTAATCTATATTTCTTTATTTCAATTTCAGCCTCAGATCAAAGTGGTGCTTTTCACCTATTTGTCCTTGTTCATACAGCCTACATAACAAAGTTAAGCAGCCTGTTATAAATGCATAACTCTTTGTGAATTCTCCTTTATACGTTTTACTTCAAAACATGTTCCAAGAAAAGCTTTTTAAGGAAGACGTGTTTTATCTGCTGGGTGATCAACTGAATGCGCTGTTCTTACTGGCTGCTTCCCATCACTCATCAGACCTCTTCTGGAAAGGGGTGTGGCCTGCAGCAGTACTCTTGAATATAAACAACCTGCTACCTTATACCAGCGGCACAAAGTACAGAACAGTTCAATTGTTAAGTGCATTGTGACAAATGAATAACTGAAACACATATTTAGCTGCCTTCTCTGTCTCACTGCAGTCTGCAGCTGGCTCTCTTATGACCGGCAGACTTTACAGGGTGAGATTACCATGAAAAGCATAAAAATATTTTTGGTTTATTATGAAACTGTAGCAGGCAGAGATGATAATGGGAAACACTGCTTGTAGGATTTTAGTCCCCTAAGCACTTTGAATCACCTTGTTGTTGAATTGTGCTATACAAATAAACTTGCCTTGCCTTACCTGAAAGTAAATAACATACAATCAGTGTGTTACGCTGACACCACTAATGACAACATTAGACCAAGTTTTTGTTCATTTATTGACTAACAAAAGAGAAATGCTACTTGCTTAAGAAAACTAGGGACTCTTTTCCACATCTTGAATACATCATTCTGTTAACCTTTTCCAAACTGAAGTCTTTGGATGCGATTACATTTCTAATGGGATTCATATGGCCAGTGTGATGTGAAATCAGGAGTAAGGAATGATTTCCCAGAGCACGCTGTAATTAGAATGTGATGCTTTTTGCTGGTTGTATAACACTAACTACACAAATGCAAATCTGAAGTGAAGGAATAATCTCTGCTTTTGAAATGAAGCCATGGCAGCTCCATATAGGCAAAGGTACAAAGGTGTGACATCACACTCCATCTACTACAGATCATCACTGGTGAGTTTTTCATTATGAGGCGTGTCATACTGCCGTGTCCCTCGTCAGGTCACGTGATACAGTAGTGCATTTAAAGACAAAGTACACTCAGCAGCACACCTTAATGTAGTGACCGTGTTATTATGTCCATTAAATGCCTCTGTCCCACATGCCCATGCACTCCTATCATGAGCCACGAGTATTCTAGCTTGGATCTGAGTCAAAAGCTAAAAAACGCTCCAGTGGACGGATGGGAACATTTGAATAAGCTCTCTGATTTTTCCAGACTAAGCTGAAACAGTGGGAGTGAAAAAGACAGACAAAAGGCTTCCTTTATGTCCCTGAAACAACGACTAACCCACGACCAAAACAAAACCTCCTCAACACCTGACTTTAGCTTCCAAACCTCTCACACTCAGGTTGTATTTATAGCACAATTAATTAGTTTAGAAATAGCCTTAATACAGTTGTATTAGCTTACACAGACACAAGCAGTTTTTGCATTTCTGAACATGTAAATATGAACCTAAAAGCAGGAGAAAGCCTCCGGACACGACCCATTACACATGCCAACATATCAACTTTGGCTCCAATTTATTTCAAAATGCTAGAGGAGCGTTAGGAAAGGCTGAAGGTGAGCTGCAGGACTCCATTTAAGAGATCAACGCAGACAGTTTTGATAATGACAAATCAAGCAAATCACTGCAATTTCCAGGTACAAACAAGGGAGTCTTATTTGGATCATAACTTCATCAGTTCTATATGGAAACAGGCCTCAAATAATGAGCTGTTTGGGACATCTGCCAAGGAAGGAAAGATACCCCAACCATTTAATCTAATACTGCTGCCTGCAGTGAGCCAATGCTGGGCAGCACATCATGTTCAGTAAAAGCTCCCATTAAACTAAATCACTACGACTTCCAACGGATTTAACTCTACAGTCTAACTGTTACAGACATATTCTACAAAAGGAAATCAACAGTGTTATTTTCCTTGCAGTCTAAGACTTCACAAATTTAAGAGTATTTACCTGCAGCTCCAATGGAGCTATACACACAGTATATTTACAAGGATCTGCTGTAGCCATGGCTGTCGATGCAGTGCTCAGAGAGAACTGAAGCTTCTCCCCAACCACACAGCAGGAAGCGGCCTGTTGGGAGGACAAGGTGAGGCATTAGTTTAAAGTAAAACTCCAGAGAATCCTGGAGTTAAGGCAGTGACAGCATTTGCATGCTACTCATGTGGTTATACCATTTTAATGCAATTCAAATAGAAAGTAAGCCCAGAATTTTCACTGAACTAAAAGGTGCTGTATGTGAATGCATGTGTGATGCTTCATTGATAATGCATCCATGTGGTTTACTTTAAACCAGAATTATTGCCTTGCAGTTTGCATCAACCAAGCTGAAGTTTACATATCTGTCCAAATCTGTGTAATTCTCCACATCAATATCTCAACAAGTATGACCTCGCCTTCTGCTCCTGAGCTATGAGGTTCAAATAGGACCCCAAAGTGCTTCTGCAAAACATCATAAAATTTCTTTTTACATCCATCCATCTTCCTAAGAGCTCATTCAATCCATGTTTGAGATTTGGCCATAGCATATTCCATCTGACTTTGGGTGACAAGCAGGGTACACCCTGGACACGTCAGCATATCCAATCCGATCAAATACATGCAAATGCTACACAGAAAAGCTTCTGTGTGCTTTGTGACATGATCTTTAACTATCAAAATCAAATTAGTCAATTGTTAAGTCGACGTTAGAGGATAAAGGTAAGACGAGACAAACCAAAAGTATAATCTCAGCAGCAGTTGCCAGTGATGGGCAGAAGTCCCAGTTAAACCAGAGCAATGTGCTAACATACTGACTTTGCATAAAACTGACCCAAAACTGGCATTTGCTTCAGGACAACTTCACTTTGAACTCTGAAAGGAAGGAAAAGAAGAACAACTCTGATAGATCCCAAAGGCATCAAGCAGTATAATTATCTGTGATCTCTAGTCGAATGAATGACATGCAACCTGAACTGAGTATCAGAGGTAGTTTAAGCTTTAGAAACATATTTACTCAGCAAATTAACTCTGATTTCAGCAAAGACTGCATGTCTTTGACATAAGTACAGTATTAGAGGAAAACTAAACATAACCATAGGTGCTGGTGTATTTCTGGCTGCCTGCTCCTCCTTAGTGCTGAGCGTGACAGCTTTATAAGCTTCTTACACACACACACAACACACACACAGTGTGTGGTAAAAATAAACCTCTGCTCATTAAACTCCCTAGACTCCATAGAGTACCTGGTATTTTGGTCTATATCTCAACGATCACAAAGAAAGGAGTGAGTTTGCATTTAATCTCTGCAAAGCCACAAAAGTAGTGAGCAGTGTGTCCCTGTCTGACCTCCCAAGTTACAGTTTCTAGTTATACTTTCTAACACAGGTTGGCAAAAATGGGCAAACACTCTGTATGACTAATAAGTGCATCATGGTTTATTCAAGTATAGTTTACGGTAATTAACAACCATATTTGCTGCTGATAAAATATTAAGTAGATTAGTTTGTCAACATTTTAATTTACTGAGAAAAGCCTGTAGTAACGTTGGAAAGTCGACAAGTCAGTGCTTGTCTGCCAAAAACAGTGCAAAGGTGTTTTCCAATGTGAGAATATGGAGTGAGAACCTTGTTGCCGGCAGACTTCTGAAAGCTGGAGACCCTGCTAAGCGTGAGATCTGAAGCCTCGAGACCATCCTCTTCAAATGCCAGCAGAACAGCACCCTGACACGAGACAGGGCAGAAACTTTAAAACAACAAACACCTACTCAAAGTCTTGCAGACTCGGCGAAATGTTGCCAAGGAATCAAAATTATGTGGGCTTGCACGACATTGGCAGCGTCAATCCATAAGCAGGAAGGTGGAGAGTTTACACTACAGTGTCTCTAATATCAAACTGAGGGTTATGATTTAAAAAAAAGGGGGGGGGGGATTTCTTTACAGCACACAAGAGGAGATTTTATAACCTTGTCGCATTATATGCTACACTTTTATTGAAGTCACCTGCTCCACAGTACAGCATTGGCTTGGTGGTCATGAGACTCACCTTTCGCTTCCTTGCTTCGTCATTCAAAGCTATGCACCAAGCTCTTCTCCACTGACTCTTCCAGCTTTTCAGTGACAGCGCCCATCCCAGCAGAGCGGCGGCTTCCTCCTCCTCTGTCGCAGCATTGTCCCCTTCTGCTGCTCCCTGCTTATTTCCTATAAGTCTATGTTGGAAATACTGTACGAAATACAGTATAAGAGTAACCAGGGAGGCGATAAACAACGTGACCATACATAGCCACTGCGGATCCTCCAACCCAAAATATGAACTGGAACTTTCTGGGTCGGACATTCTTCGGGAAAATGATCGATAATCTGAGTTTAACACACCGGTTCCTCTGGGAATTTTCCTGCCAACCTCATGTTATGTATTTAATTAAATTCAATCGCCCAAAAATGATAAGAAGACAAATATCCACCTCCAATACAAATCCTGCTTATCGTTATCCATGCTTCAGTGCTGCCATACAGGGCTTCCAAACTACGCAAGCTGGTTGTGGAAAGCTAAACCATTGTCAAAAAACTAAAGGTAGCCTGCGTACAAATAAACCTGCAGAATAGCCCACTCCTCCTCTCATTGAATACGATTGTTAGCTTAGTAAGCTAATTTTCGCTACGGCTCGTTAACTAGCTATTCTTCGTTAGCTACTAAGCCGTAAAAGTTTCCCAAAACGGACTTATGCCCGAGCTTCGTGCTCATACTCCAACAGACGATATCCAGATAAAGAGTAACATTCCCGGGAAAACATCCTGCAGGAGAAGAGTGCAGCCTGACCCGGTGGACTACTTTCAGTGTGACTGTACAAAGTTATCGCTTCCAGACGGATATGTGGCACAAACTGTAACTCCCAGAATGCACAGCGACATTTGTGAGACGTTTGTTGTTGTCGAGACCTCGAGGGAACTAAAGCTTTTTTCCATGCTGAAGATGCAACTGGGCTTTTAGGATATTGTTTTTATTAGCATTAAGCTATTACACGATTAGTTTAGTCCATGTTTAAGTCGAAATCAACGGAAAACAAATCCGAGCTGGTATTTTGAACTACACGACTTCCCGTAGCTCGTCCTGTTGTCCACCACTTCCTGTCTTGTTCTTAATCTGTTTGTAGTAGTAAACAATTAGCTAGCTTGCGTTTGCTACAATGTATCAACGCTCAGTGAGCACGACTGTTCTGTGGAGGTTGCGTATTATCGATTAAAACCCTGTTTTGTATTTTAATATACAATAACACACTGGATTAGATATTTCACGGCGATTTGTGAATGTAAACAGTATACCTTCGTCATCTACCGTGGTCTAGCTGCTATACAGTAGCTATCGTCGCTGAACTCGACTCCTGCTCTTCGTTAACAGACGTAACTAGACATTCGCGATGAATTGTCGCTCGGAAGTTCTTGAAGTAACTGTGGAGGCGAGACAGGTTGAAGAAGCTATGTTAGCTTTGCTGCACACAATTTTGCTGCACCGGAGCACCGGGAAATTTCACTACAAAAAGGAAGGCACCTACTCCATCGGCACTGTGGGCACACAGGACATCGACTGTGACTTCATAGATTTCACCTTTGTCAGGGTGTCCTCAGAGGAGCTGGACAGGATGATCAGGAAAGCGGTGTCTGAATTTAAGGTGATTGTCTGTTTTAACGCGTGATTTCTGACTCTCGTGTTGTGAGGCCTGTACTTTCAGCTGTGCTTTTGTTGCAGGATGCTTTGAGCAACTCGGGCAGCGACGGCATGGGACAGATCTCCCTGGAGTTCTACCAGAAAAAGAAGTCTCGCTGGCCTTTTTCTGACGAGTGCATTCCTTGGGAAGTGTGGAGCATCAAGGTGAATGTGGTCAACCTGGCCAATGAGCAGGAGAGACAGATCTGCAGGGAGAAAGTGGGTGAGAAGCTGGGTGAGAAGGTGATCAACGTCGTTGAGGTCATAAATCGCCACGAATACCTGCCAAAGATGCCCACCCAGTCAGAAGTGGACAATGTGTTTGACACCACTCTTAAAGATGTTCAGCCATACCTTTACAAAATCACATACCAGATCACTGACTCGCTGGGCACTTCTGTTAGCACCACTATGAGAAGGCTGATTAAGGATACACTAGCATTGTGAGAGAAAACATTTATGGTGTGGATCTTTCATATGTTTATGGTCCTGCTGTCATTTCTTTTCTATGTTTTGTCAGCTATACAGCGGAACAACGAGGCAGTGTCAGTATAATGGTGTTCTAATGTCTTTGTTGTGCTTCTGGTATCATTTGTACCTTAAGAGACTGAATTATGTAATCTTCATTTTAACAATCTCTTGCTTGTGCAAGCTTTCCCTTTTCTCTCATACACACTAGCAAATAACCGTGTTTATCAGTTTGGTTCCTTAAAATGTTCTCTTCTTGATAATGTCATCAGTGCATTACTGTAAATTTTGAATAACAATAAATGTTTACTTTAATTACAGCCACAGCTCTTGACGCAAAACATTGCTTCCATATTATCACGCTGGATCAGTGTAAAACGTTTTATGCAAAAGATCTGGCAGAGTTTGGGAACAGATTTCCTCATCTGTGTGAAAACTTCCTCTCTGCAGTTTCATGGAGAGTATGACCTTCCACATGGGGAAGGACAGGATTTCCAGTTTGCCACTTTTCCAAATTAAAGCAAACACTTCCTAAGTTCACTCCCTTGTTTCCAGCCAGAAACTGCCACCACGGCCTGCACTTTGAAAAACATCCCTCTGTTTTCAGGATAGTCTGCTTGCCAAGAGGAAAACAACATGTGTGTGAATACATTAGGTCAACATGTACATTGGGTATAATTATCTGCTCTCTAGTTTGAGGGGACAAGGTGTAGAACATATTCAAAAGCATTAATCACTGAATCCCTGTACAGTACTGTGAAAGTATTTGGCCTCAGTTTTTAAATGATGATTTCATTTATTAAGGGGAAAAAATCAACATACCTGGTCCCATGTGAAAGAGTAATTGCTCCTTCTTGCCTCATATTGAATCAATTAACTGTAATTAGCCACATTTTTGGGAAAAGTGAGTTCAACTTCAGTGTCCACACCCGGGTCTGTTCAATCTAGAAATCACTGGAAGATTTGCATCCGTTACGTCTTCCATAAAACAAACACAGTATTTCATAAAAAGAACATCACACCAACAGTCAAACATGGTGGTAGTGTGATGGTCTGAGGTTGCATTAGTGCTTCAGGACCTGGATACCTTGCCATGAATTTGTGTTCTGCAAGCTTAAGCACAAGTGGGTTATCAAGCTGGAAAAAGATCCAAAAAACGTCAACAAGTCTGAAAAAAATAAAAAATCTCGCTGTTCATGCTCATAACCAATCCAGTGTGGCTGAAACAAAACAATTCTGCAAAGAAGTGTCAAAAATTCCTCCATAGTGATGTGAAAAACTCATCAAAAGTCACGGCAAACATTTGGTTGCAGTTCCTGCCGCCAAGGGTGGCACAACCAGTTATTAGTTTAGGAAGCAATTATTTTTTTCACACAGTGACAGGTAGGTTTGGATGGCTTTTGTTTTTTAAAGCATTACAAATATCACTTAAATACATTTTGTATTTACTCAGACTGTCTAATATTCAAAATTGTTTGATGATCTCAAAATCTTGTAAATGCGACATATGTTAGAAACTAAAATCAGGAAAGGGCCACCTACTTGCTTTTAAGTTGAGGTTTTGTGCAGTAAATAAATATCAGAATTCCCAACTTCATTGCGTTTGTAATGCTGAAAGTACTGCAGTGATGAGCGGATCAATCAGTCAGCCAGTTGGCAGACAAGTAATTTGCAATACCTATGAGTTTTCTCAAACATTTCCACTCTTGGCTTGTTAAATGGCCAAACAACGACCTGTGCTCTAGTTTTGTAGCATTTGACTGAATCTGAGCAGAGAATATAGCCCTCTACACGTCTGTCAGCAGTCACAATAAACACTAGTGATGTGGTTCTACTGGCAGCCATATATACCCCTGCCACAACATATGTTTGACAGGTTATGTGGTATGTTTCAGATCAAGAGCTGTTTCTCATCTTTCCAATACATTTCTATTCCCATCATTTTGCTCCACGATAATCTCATGAGTCCAAAGAAATTTTTTTAATTTTGGTTTTTTTAGAAGTCTGCAAGAACTTTCGCATGTTTTCTGACAAAGTTAATCCGGCCTTCCTGGTCTTGAGTGAACTTTGACAAAGATACGCACACCTTCTCAAGAGTTTTCCAGACTTGGTTAGATGTGAAGAAGTTTTTCCAAAGTGAGAAAAACAAAACCTCTGTGATCACCCCTTCAGTAGTCTTCCTGGCCTTTTGGTGTTGCTGAGCTGAACAGTGCATTCCTTCTCTAAAGTTTTGCTCTTTCTGAAAGTTTTCTTTTTGTTTGATTGTTTTGTCAGCCTAATGCTCTTTCACTTGGTCCTAACAGTGAGAGTTCCACTTAACAACTACAAGGTCATCACAGATCAGCTTAGCCATGGAATAAAGAGGGAACAGGCCTTACCTGGTCATCAACTGCTTGTCAACAGTCTAATTATTTTGAAAACTATTTAAAAGCGGTGCTACATAGAATTCAAAATCAGTTAATACTTTTGTTAAAACCTTTAAATTAAAGTCTGCATTAGTCACATTGCAGCCATTTGATCTGATATTCACTGGGGAGGTGTACAAAGGTAAAAAATTGTGCCGTTGTCCAAATGCTTGTACATAAGTATTTGGAATCCACCTTTTTACACATTATTCTATCCATTTAATTACTTAATCTACCTAGCAGCAATATGTAGCCAATTTATGATGGCCAATTAGACTAACACGAATGACAATGTAACCCAAAATCTTTTGATCCACCGTGAAACACTCAAAGTTGTTAAGTTCATAAATCCAACACCACAAATGATCATTTATATATGTATATAATATATATATACTCCATTGTTACTCTTTATTACAGAAGTGAAGCACAAAACTGTAGAAAAACCTAAACACAAAACAGCTGCAAGTCTCAAAAAGCAACAGCGATGCAACCAATGTTGATACAAATATTCATTATTGCAGTGAGAGCACAGGAATACTAAAAAGATCAAACTCTTGTTTACTAACAAAATCGGTACAAAAATCAAGAATACAAACACCTCCATGTACACAAGTCTATAAGCATTCCTGTGAAACTTTCAGAAAGTCTTTCTCACAAGAAATTAAGAGCACTATTATCAATACAGAATTTCCGCAAAAAATTTAACATCACAATGCAGCTTGCATTAATCATTTAGTGGAAAACAAAGTCCATTAGTCCGTGTGGAGTTCTGTCTGTCAGGCTCCCAAACAGCAATAATAATTTATGACAAAGTTCTAAACTATCAAGCCGAAGCAGAAGTATATACTTGTACAAGAATACATTTGTAAAACAACCGGAATACAATCAAAACACAATCATTACTTTTCCAAGAAATCTTCAGGAAGCAGGAACACTCTGTGACCGTTCGTAGAATAAAGATTTGCCGTCTCGTTGCTTTCCCTCCCGTTAACGTCGCCACCTTGAAATGCCTGAGTCATAAGTGGTCTGAAGCTGTTGTGCTTTCACGTAAAATAACAAAATAGTTTTGTAAAGTTGCATAAGGCCATCGAAGCGCTGTAAAGCTCACTTAATAGTCCAATGTGTTCAATTGCAAAAAATTCTATCAGTGTATTTACACAACACTGGTGCCACACTCAGCGATTGAGACACTGTGACAACGTTTGATGTGAAAGCTTCTGAAAGCTTACTCACAGGAAATATTTAATATTATTATAAGCCAAATACTGCAAGGATGTCTCGTATTTGGGACTTTATGAGATCAACCCAGCTCACTGTTTTTCAGCGACAGCCTGCATGGCTACTAGTGCACTGGTCTGAGCACCTTTTTCCACATAATTTAGCGACGTTTTAGTCATTTAACTTCAGAAAATAAATATTTTTTCTGTAATCTTCCAGTTGATTGCATTGTTTCACAGCAGGCTAATCATTAGGAAGATACTGTGTTTGTTGGTACTGAATGAAGACTGTATGTGGTATAGCTTTCTTATACAGACTGTCTCATTGAATTTTTCCATGAAATGAGTTGATGTGAATTCAATATGAGCCTCAAAAGTAAGAACAAATGAGTGCTAAAAGAAAAAGTTAGATGCTTTTTGTTACTCCTGCAGCCTAAAAACTCGGTCAGGGAAACATACTGATCCAGAGTAATCGCTGAGGATTACATCTTCCTACCAGAATCAAAAAAGTGCATATTGAATACATTGTTGAGGCCACCAATAATATCTTAAGGGATGTCAATCACATGTTTGTACAAAAAGCAAAAGCTCTCGTCTTTAAATGAACCGCAGCCTCCAAAATTTTAAAGCACTTTTTCCACCACACTCGGAGAGAACAACGTAAACACTTGTCCCGCCTTTTTCTCTACCTTCAGTCGAAAACATTGAGGGGTGCAACTCTTAAAACGACTAGATAGGCAAATACAACTAGACAACCAAAAGAGGTCTGAAACAGATAAATTCATATAGATCATTTTGCAAGAAAAAAAATTATAGTCATCTCTTCTCACAGAGGAATCTAGCACTTGATTGCACATTCACGTTTACGCGTCTAAATAAACATGGCCACTTCAATATATGACATTGGAGGCAAGCGAATAAGCTATACATTCAAAGTCTTTTGTTTGTAGGCTGAGGTGTGTTTATTCTTATAGTAAGTATTGTCTCCCGAGAAAAAAACTCACTGCTATTGGCCATCTGAATCTTACATGTGACTGTGACTCTGCTCGTGGCTCCACAGACTGAAGGCCGTCTTGAAGGTCCTGTGGCAGAGTTTGCACATGTACTGCCTCTTAAATGTCAGGGCAGAGAGAGACGGTGCGTGGTAAAAGAGTGTGTCCGATTCCTGAGGGCCGCCTGGATTCTCCATGCTGTTTGACCTTGACAGGGGGCTTTGGCTGCTGGTTTGCCGTTCCAGTTCGGGCCTCTTGGTCTTGCTTACCAATGAGCTGCAGGGATCTGGGCTGCTGGACTCGTCGGTCCCTGCGGTTGCAGCAGCAGTAGCAGCAGGGACCGGTGCCGCCTGAGTAGATATGAGCACAGAGGCCTGTGGGGAGGGACGTTCTGAAGGGGTAAGTGGAGGGGAAGGGCTCAGAGGTGAGGGGTTTCTGTCGATCTCTTTGGCTCCGGGTTCGTTAGCAGTCGACATGTGAGACTGGAAGTGGCTCCAAAGGCGGAAGTTGGTCCTGAAGGCTTTGTTGCAGATGTGACAGATGAATGGTTTGATGTGGCATAGCAGCTCCTGGTGTCGTTCCAAGTCTTTGCGAGAGCTGAAAAGATTTCCGCATTTCTCGCACGGCCACACACCGGGTTCTTCGGAGCCACTTTTGGCAGCATCGGGGTTGTCCCGCTCACTCACAGCCTCCTCCAACGGCTCTTCCTTCACTACCAGCTTGCCATGGTGGCCCATGCTCAGGTCTTCAGGCACATAGGAGGAAGAGTCTTCAGAGTCATACATAGGTGGACCTGAGGAATCACTGTAACTGATGTTCTCTCTTGTGCTCTCGCTTGTTAGAGGCTCATCACTGTAATGCTCCTCCTTGAGCATTTCAGACTCCTCTTCATTGTTCTCTTGTTGCTTCAGGAGAATGTGGTCTTTAACAGTCATCATATTGTGGTTGTGCACCTCCACCTGATGGCGCCAAATGCTGAAGGAGGATTTGAAGGTGCGCATGCATTCCAGGCATGTCAGTTTCTTGTACTTACAATGTGCCTCGTGGTCTTTCTTGACAACTGGACTTGAGAATCTGAGGCCACAATAGGGGCACACGGTTGCATGGCGACAGCCTCTCTCGTGGTCACCCTGTTCCAGGAGCGATGACAGCTTCATATTGCAAAGTCTACAGGAGTAAACACCGGTGTCAGGGTTCTTCTGTTGAATGATCTCATCCTGTTCCTGGTAGAGGATGCTCTCCCTCGCTGTGTCCTGGTCAGCTTTTTCAGCAGGATGTGTCCTTAAATGCTGTCTGTACTGAGACTGGAACACAAATGTCTTGCCACAGTATGGGCATATGTAGCTGGGCCTCGACCTCTTTTTTGTAATTGCAGGAGACTGCAAACCCTGCTTATTCCTCTTTAACTTCCAAAGCAAAGCTTTCTTTATTTCTCTCTCTCTCACAATATCTATTAGCTTCTTTTGAAATTTCTCATCAAGAACAGAGGAGCTGGCGGACGACGCTGGGTTTTGTACTACACCATGCTGCGTTTGGCAGTGCGTCCACACTTTGAAGTTGGTATGAAAGCGCTTGTGGCAGATGTCGCAAGCATACGGCTTTTCCGGATTGTGATACATATTTACATGACGATGAAGCCCAGCACCTGACCGGAAAACCTTTAAACAATTCCAGCATTTGAAAATCTTGTTCTGAGGTGACTCCTCGCCGTCCTCGTTAGGGTCGCCGCTGGCATGCTGAGGTACTGCTTTTGACACATTCACGTTAACTGAGAGAGCATGCTCTTTAAATAGTTTGCTCTTCTTTAATGGGTACCGTCTGTTGTCTGGCCTGTCCCTTCTTTTCCCCACAGGATTTAAGACTTCCCTGGGACCTTGATCATAATTAGTTTGAAAGTCTTTGAGACTGACTGGCAAAGAATCACCAACTGTGATGCGTACGATGTCCATGGGGTCAGCGAGTGGACTGCTGGGCTCAGCTTTCACACTCACCTCTCCTTCTACCTGAGTTTCTCCATCATACCTGCCGGTATACTTTGACCTGAGAACCAGAGGAGACGTTCTTTTTGAGTCGCCGTTGTGGGCAGAGGTTTCTGGCACAGACGTCTTCAGTGCCATCTGTACAACTGACTGGTCTCGATTTTGCAGCTCCTTGAGCTCCAGCGTGGGGGAGAAGACTGGAACGGGGCTGTCCATGGATAATGACCTCCTGAGTAGGCTTTTTATAAGTGGCCCACTCCTGTCAATGGTCTGGCTTGGCTCACTAGCCTGACCCTGAAAGGGCACTTTGGTATTGTAGCGGGACTCCTGCTCCTCATTCTCCTCTTTATTGTCCTGGTCAGGGCCAGACGGCAGCCTGATGTGCTGCACTTCAGCATCACTGAAAGACACTGATGATGTCAGCTGGGGTCTCACGGGTGTGAAGTGTGATGAATTCCCTTTCAATATGGAGGCATACGTCCTCTCCAAAGCTTCACCCCGGTCAGGGGACTTCCTGCTGGGCTCAGAGTTTCTGACCGATTCGTACGAGTTGTGTTCCGAGGGAGGCCGAGTGGACCCATGAGCAGAGTGGGGAGATGTCGATCTCTCAGATGTTTTTCTCGGATAACTCGAGCGAGAGGGATGGGCCGTGTCATTCCGGACCCGACGCACAATGACGCTCCTTGTGTGGACATCATTCTCATCCCCCTCTGAGAACGAAAGCCTTTTTCTAGACACACAGTAGGATGCATGTGGCCTTGTTGACACAATGTTGGTGAGGAAAGGGATTCCGAGGCTGTATCCCAGCTCTTGAATGGCTGCCAGGCTGCCTTTGTCCACAAAGAGTGAGGAGGAGTAAATGTAATTCAAAACGATCTCAAAGGCATCCGGCTCACAGAAGTCCAGGTTTACAACTGTCAGCGAGTCTGCGTCCATCCGCGAGAAAAGGGACTGGAAATACTCACTGCTGGCAGCCAGAACACTCTTATGGGCCTGGTACCTTTGGTCTCCCACAACCAGGACCACATCACACGCTTGTCCCCGCAGTCGCTGCTCATTCAGAGCCCCCAGCAATGACAGGGCGTGGGAGGGGTTACTGTAATGCACTAGGCTCTCCATGGCTGAAAGACAAGGAAAAAAGATTATATTATAAAAAGATTACATTTTATTGAAACAATGTAGACATATAAACATATATATGCATATACTCTTGATCTAGATAAATTTGCATACTTTAGATGTTTCAAAATTCTTTGGACATGGATGCATCTACAGGAATAAGCATCTACTAAATAAAAGCTGATGAGCTTTTGTGCACTATATGTATAATTGTGTGTGGTGTTCTTGTCAGTTCTCTGTGATCAGTTCAATATGACACCAAGTAAAAATTCATAGTCTCTATGTCAGGGGTGGGAAACTCCAGAGTCCTGCACGTTTTAGACATCACCCTGGGTCAACACACCTGAATTAAATGATTAGTTCATTAGCAGGCCTCTGGAGAACTTCAAGACACGTTGAGGAGGTCGTTTAGCCGTTTAAATGAGCTGTTTTGGACCAAGGACAAAAACCTGCAGGACACCGGCCCCTGAGGCCTGGAGTTCCCCCATCCCTGCTCTGAATAGTAAAAATACATTGTTTCACTAATGAATAAAGGAATCTCAGTATGTGTTCTTCAAATTCTTCCGTCATCGAATCTACTTCAAAGTTGACACTGGATTTCCTGCACGCACACACAAGCTGCTACCTGATGGTAAACAGAGGGAACATCTCTTAATTGACATTTAAGAGATGTTTCTTAAATTTATGATTACTTCAGTTGAGACACGGCAGTATTCCTGAAGCCTTTTGTCTGTTCTCCCACAAAAGCGAGCGACTATGTAATCAGTTCTGTTTGTTTGTCTATTAGCAGTCTAGCATCCACTGTTTTCAAGATATCCTATGCAAATTTCGTCTGATGGTAGACACCCATAAAAGCTCCGGCTGATTTAATTTAGGTGAAAATCAGGTGAAGATCACACCAAATATGAAAACCAGTAAAATCTGTTTATTAATCAGAGATTTATATGGATCGTATTCAAACTTCACTACAATATACTAGACCTTGGAGGACATGAGCAGCTAGTTTGGGTAAACATTTGACTTTGACCTTCAAGAAATCTTTCAAGCATAATATATCACATGAAAGGGCATCGGGAAAGCTGTACAACACACTTTTTTTCCCAATACAACACCCTATCACACACTGCATGAATATATATTAAAATCTCAAGTTTTTACAGCTTAAAAAAGCTAAAGATTTCAGCTGGTTCTGCTCCAATCGTATGGGTAAAGATAATAAAGTACACTATTTTAGTATGTAGGGCTTCAAGGTCATAAGTCAAAGGTCAGGGTCACACGAATTAGGAAAAAGCGTTGGTTTCCATCGGATCGGATTCAAACTCTAAAGCATTAGTCCTTGGGGGGGGGGACATAAGCAATAAGCACTTGTTTGTTTGAGCTCGTTAGAATATTATTCAGGAGCTCATATACAACATGACTTCACAGTGAGACAAAAGATTAATATACTACACCAGATCTCCATATTAACAACGCTGACATCAGCATGTTGCAACAAAAACATTACGAATAATCCAAGTTTTAGTGCAGCCTTTGGTGATCGTTCATGTTACGTTGCAACCATAACCGTTCAAAGGAAGTAGTAACACAATACAATAATTGCTGAGAACTACAGCTGCAGCCATTATTCATTATTAAGCAAACTGGCAATCCAATAACTGCAAACATGCCAAACATAGCAAAGCTCCAGTTTATCATGTGTGAAGATTTGACGCTCATCTGTTTTCTGTATTACTGAAAACAGCATAGCTCTCACTTTTCAGATGCTCATCTGATAAAAACACAAGACAGGATTATGTTGTCTAAAATACAGTAACAAGATTTATTTTGCTTACATTTTATTTATCCAAACGACCTATAAGTTTTATTATGAGCTATAAATATTGATGCCTTACAGACTGCTGTAAAAGTAAAGAAACAACTGGTTAAACTAGGCATCGTGTTTAACACAACGGGGTTTACAACTACATGTGCATTTTTTGTCTTGCTGTTGTTTGTGATGGTCACTAGAGGTCAAAGTTGAGCCTTTTAAAATATAAAATGGTGTAAAGGAACTCCACAGAATTTATGGGAATTACATCATGTTATCAGTCTGAAGGTAGGAAAAATGGAGTTCTGTCAAGTTGCCCTCAACCACACAGGGCACTACAGGAAGTTTAAAAGGTTTCAACTACAAGTTGAAATGCACTGTCTGCCTTGATCCACCTTCACCTAAACCATTAAACATCTACATTTATTTCTATGGTTGAAAAATGTAACTATCAGAGAAAAGCACTCTTGGTATTTCAGGAGGCAGGTTTATTTGATGAATCTAGCCTGCTGTTTATACTGTCAGCTAAAAGATTCAGGATCCATTAGCATTTGTATGCTTTACAGCCGAGCTTAAACACCATTGTGCTGACTACTTCCATGTCACCCTTTGTGTGATGATCAAGTATACTGGTGCTGTAATCGAAACTAAAACAGCTTAGAAAGCACACCAAGTTATAAAGTATTGACTTGAACAAAGTTTTCTTGCACTAAATTTGGGCTTTATGAAGTGTTTTTCATCATTTTTATTATAAATCTAATTTATTTTGTAGAATTCATGTAAGAAACTGCATAATATCGATACACCTGCATCGGTCAGTGGTGAGACAACAATAATACTACTGAACAGCACTGTACTGTTACAAGAACAAACCCCATCTGACGCACAGCAATAGTTGTGTGATTAACATAGTCAAAAACAGGGACTGCAAAGCATTATATGCATGCATTTCATTTTCCTGAAAAAGGTGCTGCCTGGACGTCACGGCGTTTATTTTGGAAATTGTAACCGGAAGTCGCGTTACTTACGTCGGCTACTTTGACACTTGCTAAATATATTTATGGGCAGAACCCCCATTCATTCATCAAAAAACTAAAGATTGCCTCGTGGACTTTGGGTGAAAATGTGTGCTCCGTGTTAGGAAAAACACGGGAATGTTGGGTCGTGTCATGTTTTCCCAGAGGAAGCCGAGTGAAGCTTCGGGCATTAGATCATCCATGAGACGTGGCTCTAAAAGAACTTCTCCGACTGATGTGCTGCTTTCACTTCACAACGCATTCGTACATTTCTTTTTTGTTTAGCTTCAGACAAACCCGAGGGTGCAACGCCTGGTCTCGAGCAGCTAACACCGAATAAAGAGGGGGAAAGTTGAGCGCGTTTCAATGGACTGCACCGCGCTAATCCAGAAATGAAAGTCTGCGCGGGCAGAGACGCCGTTTTGGCGTGTAAGGAGTCAGTTGTAAACGCTATCCCCGGTGGAAGTCATGGGCTTTTGGTTTTGTTATGTTTAGTTCTTTTATTTTTTTTCCCACCAAAAAAGCAAAAACGGCTCCACACCGGCCTGACACTGGAGCTGCTGCTGGCTGCAAAACAGGTTGTAGCTGGTCAGGTTTTTACAGCGACACAATCCCCCCTCCGAGTTACGTCAGGGAGGAAAAAGCTTCTCCTTAACAGCTCTCACCAACTGTGTCTGCGCCTCCCTGCTCGTGTTACTGAACGGTAACTTCGTTAGGCTGGCTACACTTACCCTGCCCGTCGTGAACACGGTCTTTCCTCCACGTAGCCGGGACTTTGTTCAGTGTTGTGTAGATTTCTCCGCGCTGGTCGTGATTCCATCCATCTTGAATTTGACGTCATCCCACACCAGGGATGAGGTCATCGCAGAGAGCGCTCGTCACGTGCACCGTGCACTGATAGGCTGGTCAAAGAGCAAGGGGCGGTGCAAACGGAAGACTCGAAACTGAGGCTAATTTAAAGGGATATGTCATATTTTTCGTTTGATCTTTTTTTAAAACAAGATTTAGTGAAAGTCGGTAAAGGCTAACTAGCACTTTCCTGCACACTGTAATTCACTGCACACTCTACTTTGAGGTACGCTGAGTTTGCTGCTGGGGTTGTTCTGCTTGTGTGAAGTCACATGTGGTACAGTAAACCTGACCAAGTGTGGAAACTTTTAACACCAAGTAGGAAGTAAGTGCTCTCCTTATTTTTGTTTCTTTCTTATTTTTTATAGTTTCAGTCTGATTATTTTAAAGAGTACTTTTTCACTTTACAATGCCATGACTTAAACGTTATCAATGCTACAGAAGACACTACTTTGATGCCCATCTAGCCCCAGTGAAACTAATTATATCCATGACTACAAAAGAAGTCACTGCAGCACAGCAGTGTATTTGTGTCATCACTTCTATCCAGTGGGGATTTGTCACCATGCCTATTTTGCTTAAAGGCCTTTTCCTGGAAAGCCTCATCTGCTACAGTACCTGGCAACAGTCTCATCTCACTTAATCAAGGACAGCGCTGATGGTGAAAAGACAGCGCCACTCCCAGTTATCTTTAGGTTCAACAAAACATGAAAGCATGCGTATGCAAAGCATATATTTATGTTTGGTGACCTCTGATAACCCATCTGAAAACCCTTCACTGCCTTGCATTCACACCCACAAGCCTGCTAGCATGAGCCCACTCATTACTGCTTAATCACTGAATTACGTTTAATCAGGTTCATTTTCACACCTCATTACTATTAATGGAACACCATTATTTGAACGGGTACTTCTGCGAAGAATTAAAGGCATGCCAAAAGGCTTGTAGAATTTTAGCAGGATTTTCACATCCAGACACATTCAGAGCCTTTTTTTAGAATATGTCTTTGACAGCCAAAGCATCCTGTTGCTTTTTGATATTAGCAGAATGAAGACATGTGGGAAAATGGCAGGGAAGTTCTCACTCCTCCTTACTTGATTTTAATAGCTAAGATGGTTGGTTGTTAATGCCAGCATCATAGCAAGCACTGCCATGGTTACCTGAGTGGAAACCAAGCCATTAGGGACTCTGACTCCTCCCAGCCCATAATTCTCCTTGGCCTCATAAACATGTTTACTTACAATGACACAGCCAAAGAATAGGCAAATCCATAATGCATTTATTTGACAAAAATAAAAGCATGCACTTCCTCTCACAGGTTGCATGAAAAGCAAAGACTTTGTTTGTCGTGTTTATGCTGATTATCCAGGTTGTTTCGCTGACAGCAATTTAAAACCCGCTTAAAAAACAAAATTAATATACTTTTAGTAAATTAATAAAATGGTAACTGCAAATATCTAAATTCATATAATACTTACCTGTTGGATGCTGTAATTTTGTGGTACATTTGGGACCGTTGGGTCATTAAGGGGAGGGGAAAGATAGCCACAGAGGACTTGGTCTTTGACTACACCCTGAACAGTGCGCTGGTATCATTTCAAAGTGAAATATGGAGGTAAAATGTGGTGCTTAAATACATGGGTGAGATTCTGATGTGAAAATGAGTTGGATGCTCTCGTTTGGGGTGGCTGTGGCCCTGCTGGCTCTCTGTAGGGGACAGGACACTGTGAATGAAGGTAGGCCACGATGCCGACGACAGATTTACTCTAAACAGATGTTTTAACAAAACAGAATGTGACATTTATTTCGATTAAAGCCTTCACATTTCATTCAAAACTTTCCGAGCACACTAACATATAGGAGCAGTTTATTAGAGTGACTCAAAATGTTATTTTGCAGCAGTGTACAAGATACCAATGGAAACATCTGATATCCAAAAGTTATATTGTATTTTCAGGAAATAGCCTGTGTCTGTCTGGCTACCACCTGTGCACTCATAACGAAACAAAGATTGTGAGTTTCCTGGTGGTGCACAAGGTTCCCTATTCAGTGTCAAAGCCTTGTGGCGGTTGGCTCCTCTGGAAGACTTGTAATGTCACAATGTACAGGATGATCCATCAGACTGAGTACAAGCTGGTGACAGAGCAGGTGATGGGATGCTGCTCTGGCTATGTGCAAGTTGGTCGTTACTGTGCCCTGCGTGAGTATACTGCACTGATCAGGATTAAAGAAAAGCACACATTGTTTTGTTCTTAGACTGCAGAAGACACTTTTTCTGTCTGCAAAATCTGATTATGTACCACACACACACACACAGACACACACACTGTCTCTGGCCAGGCAGTCAGCGTGACCTTTCAGTGTGTGGTGCTGTGTGCAAGACACCAGATGGAAGCGCTGAAACTGCAATGCTACAAATATCTCACTGCTAATATATGGCCTGCAACATGTTATTTCCTTTGAATGAAGCTGTAAACAGGAGTGGTGAGTTTAGTTCCAAGCCAGGATCCTGTCCAACTGCAGATGGATTGCATCCCAGTTCTGAGGAGTGTGACTTGGATATAGACTGTCCAGGCTGGCAAAAATGCTGCCAGAGATCTCACCACTCTTCCTGCAGTGATCCAGCAAGTTAGTATATATGTGATTTTGCATCCACATTGCATTTAAAGTGAATGTTCACCATGCATTTACTGTGCTTTGTTTAAGCAAATGACAGTTTTAGAATAGTGCTAAAACGTAATGAGCGACTCAACTCACTGAGGCATTAAACTGAAATTTGCCGTTTTTGCTAAACTTCTATTGCCCAGCGTCTACGGTATGTCAGCTAAACATGACAAACTGTTTTTATCTGTTAGTGCAGCTTTACTGCTGCCATCTTGGTGCTGATGTGGCCGCTCTGTTGATGTGTCATTTTCCTTGGTATTTCGTAAAATTTCAAAAATGAGCACTCAGAGAGGGCAGATCCCCCCGAAGGGCGAGGGCTACACTAAATGCATGCAAACACGGGGAAAACAGGCAAACTCCTCACTCAGGACTTTCTCGCTGTGAGGCAACAGTGCTAACCACCGTGCCACCGTCAGATAAAGTAAAGGGGAAATGCATCAGTTTTCTTACAGCAACAGTAAAAAGTTACAGAAACTGAAAGTGTTAACAAAAACACGCTCATATGTTCTGTGTCACGTTCAGCCGATGCACGCCGCGCACACGCTAAGAGTGCAGCAAAAAACAGACACACAAAAAAATAAAAAGAACATGTTGTCTTGACAACAGTGTGTTTCATTGCTTCTGGTGTTCGTACGTGTGTTCTTGTAAAATTACAGTGCCACCAAATTCTTTTACAAACTAATCTTAGTGACTTGGGGTAATCCACAGACCCCACAGTGTGTGTGCCATTTTCACTGGATCCCTTCCTGCTGAAGAAAATATGAAAGGAATAACTGCTGAGTCGTATATAGACCGCTTCAGCCTGTTCATATTTCATTTAGCAATTAAATAAATAAATCAGCTGATTTTCTTTTTTTTAACCAAGCTCTTAAGTGAGCCTGTAGGTCTTTCTCTGAAGCAGGGAGAAATCTGTCGACACTGATCTTTATATTGTATCATGTTAATCTCAGCAAATTACTCTGAGAATGGAGGAAACCGTTTGAATGCAACAGTGACAGTGAAGACAGACTACCAGCAACTGATGTCCAAGAATGAAGGGCTTCTGAATCACACAAGGCTGCTGCAAGCAATGGTAACACAACAGCTTCTATGGTCAAACTTCCTCCAGACATTTATAATGAGACTAGACTTCCAACATAAGCACTTTCCTTGGTGGTCGCTTTTTTATGAAAATATGTTCGTCTGTGTCATCATCAGGTGACTGGAGCTCTGCAGTCTGATGTTTCTGTCTATTATCTCAGCACATGGCCTGTGCATCCCTACAGAACTGCCACCTCTCTGCTGATTGAGTGTAACTTCACTCTCTCGTTGTACAACGTCACATCGAAGCTGCATCGCCTTCTCGAACGCATAGAGGAAGTGTCTTCAATAACAGTGCAAGGTGAGGAGGCACTGTATGGCAGTTTTGACCTCTCTGCGAAGCTACTCGGCTTTTTTTCTTTTGAGAAATGACATTCTTGTAGAGTTTTGAGAATGATTCATGTGCAAAGAACACGGCGTTCAGGAAAAAATGACTCAGTCGCACCACAGTTTCCTTCTCCCACTACTTCTGTTTGAGTGACAGTCATCTGTGGGATGTTTCCTGCAACAGCGGAAAATAACACCAGAGCGATCACACACGCACACACAGAGACAAACACACGTGCATGAACACACGAAACACACACCCACACTCAGATATTTATCATAAATCAGTCATGCTTGCTACATTCCCACAAAACATGGCTCGCGTGCACGTCAAGCTGGCTTTTTCTCAGAGATAATTAACTTCCCTTTTTCTGTGCTGAAAGCCATTTATTTTTAGACACATCTGAATTTTCAAGCCTTTAAATGAAAGATGTGAGCAAGATAAGTGAATCCAGTCTTGACTTGCATAATGTGTTTCAAGTTCCAGTGATTTTTCCAGGGTCCCGAACAGATGTGGAGATTTTCTAAACAGCTTCCACTATAAGCTATTGATTTATTTTCAGAAACACATTTGTTACAACTCATGCAAACACAACTGTAATTGAACAGCTTTTATGTATGTGTAATTATAATTGCTGCTTAACTCCTCCATATGTCTGCATTTTCATTGCAGATGTAGACGAGTGTGCACATTCTGCTCTTCGGCAGTGCTCGCTTTGGGCCGACTGCAACAACACAGTGGGTTCTTATGAGTGCGTCTGCCACCAAGGTTACATTGATGTTGACCCGAGCAACCCTGGAGCCCACTGTTCAGGTTTGACCGCACACTTGTGTGTGTGTTTGCAGTGCAGACGTAACCCTTTAAAGTCTGGACTGTGAGATAATTGCCAGATAATTAAAATGTTTATTTGCACATGACTTTGTTCCATTTTTGCTATGCGCACCAATTTGTGCAATTTATTTCGGTTTTTCAGAAACTAGCTCACACTTAACTTACACGTGCACAATGTATGTACACAGAGAAAGCAATCATATTGCTAAATATAACATCTGAACCTCGTTTGAAAGTGTTCTTTTTCTCAAGTGCTTCCAGTTACCCTATCCTCAAAATCCCCTGAGCCCTTACTTTTGTACTCGTAAGTGCAGCATCTCAGACAAGTACAATAGTTTAGATTCAGTCACTTTAGAAGTGACGAGAGGAATTTCCCCATCAGAAAGCCCCGAATAGAAACTGATAAGATTACAGTTAGACTGATCAAAGAGCTTTTGGGGGGTTAAAGTTTATGCGCAAGTTATTCTAATGCTAATGTATTGATGTTTGCTGAGACACAAACACACACACACACACACACACACACACACACACACACACACACACACACACACACACACACACACACACACACACACACACACTATTAGCATAACTGACCTGCAGACCTGGAGGTGGAAGCTGAGTGAGAACAAATGAAGATTTCTCTGTTTTACTCAGATCCGCCCACCATCGGCCTTTTTTGGGTAAAATATCAAACAAGAAAAAAGAAAACAAGTCTCAAAAGATAGTTTTCTTGTTAAAAGCAGAAAAAGGTCAATTACCAATCACCTACTGACAGCTGTGTGAAAACATTAAGGAACACAGAGGCTATGGAGGCCTTGTTTTGGAACAAAGCTGTGGTTAACAGACTGCCTCCTTAATCTGAAACGGCTGCACAATAATATGTGTCAGAGTTGTTCTTCAAGTCAGACAAACCTACTCGAACAAGGAAATTGTGGTTAGTTTTAAAGGCTTAGCTAGCTCACAACAAAGTTGCCACACTTGTCATATTTTGTGAAGATGGTCCTTCCTCATAAATGATCCACAATGTTCTGCTATTACTGCTTTGTAACGACACAGTTTCTAAAGTGACCTCTGTTGGCTGTGTGACTAACAACATGTAAATTGTCTGTTCACCACTGATGAGTGGAGGAGGGCGGAGTCAGGTCTTCAGTCGTCATGCTGGAAAGCTTGAGAATGGTTCTTACAAAGATGGTGTTTATTAACCCAAGTCACCAATCAATGTAAAGACAGTTTAGAGTAAAAGTGTATTTTTGATCCATGACTCTACTTACCTACTTATTTTTTTTGCTCTTTTAAAGTGGAAACACTATATGTTGTTTCTAATTACTACACGTCTGTGATGTGAGTCACACAGTGGTATTTACACCAGAAACTTAGAGTCCAGCCGTCCACTTGTTGTTCTTTGCTCCCAGCTGACACTGGAGTGTGGCCCACCGCCCTGACCAGCCCTGCATTGATGAACACAACCTATCCCCCTGCTTCCAGTCGCACACAAGGCCCTCCTGAATACAACACAACAGATTTCTTCACATCCACTGAGATCAGCGTGACTGCGGCTCCGAGTAATACGACCTCTGTCTCTTGGAATTCATCACAAGCTTCGCTGTGGACGAGTTCTGCATCTCACAGCCAAATGAATACAGCTGTGGAGTCAGCTCATCCAGCGACAACATGCTGTGAGAAATATTCTGTTTTCATCTAAAGTTTACATGAAATCTCCATCTCTTGATTGGAAGGGTGTCCAAGCCAGAAAGAGAGGGATATTTGGGTTTAACAAGCATTTATTTATAATTTGACATCATTTACACTGAAGCTCATCCTCTTTGGAGGAGTCTTAAATTGTTATTCTCATACCTGTAAAGTTTTTTTCAGCTATTTTTACTCGAGTATTTATTTTTCAGACTACTTTTTACATTTCTTCTGTGCATTTTTATCATGTTCACATGACGTTCGCATCTTCCTGGTATATTTGATGTTTAACCTCCATTTGTGGATCGCACAGCAAACTGTGCTCACAGACTGTGATTTCTGGAAGTGTTTCTGAGCCCACGCAGCGACTTCCTTGCCAGATTATTCCTGGTTTTAATGTAGTGCTGCCTGGTGACATCCAATATTTGTCCTTTGCGCACAGAGATTTCATCATTTCTTCGGATTCTTGGAATCCTTTGTAGCAGGTGTAACAGCATTTTAGAGATATTTTGCTGCCATCAAATTCAAAATGAGATAATATTTTAATATTCCTTTGTGTGAAAGTTTCTGGATCTGGCTTGCACAGACTGAATAAGACTGGCCTAAAATGGTCTAGGATTAAACTGACAGGATGTAAAAAGTAAAATAATGCATTTTTAAGCTGTTCTTTTTTGTTACTCTTGACAGGCTTAGACTAGCTGTGGTGTTTGTTTCCAGTCACTGTGCAAAACAAGGCTGGATGCTATTCCCTAAGACAAACCGCACAGATGTGGGAGTGGCATATTTCCACGCAACAACCAGCAAGAAAGCAGATTCAGATTAATGACAAGCGATTCCCCTGTCTGTCCCCTCCCTCAGCTCCCCCCAGCATCGGCAGCTTATGGTCCACTAATGTTACTGGAACGTCCTTCTCTGTCTGCTGGTCCAATCATGCCGAGACAAAACAGACTTACCTGGTTGTTCTAAGGAACGGGTCAGAGGTCATTCAGACTCAGAAAATCAGTGATACCACGATAGAGGTGAGCGGACTGAAGCCTGGACTGCTCTACAATGTTACCGTCACACCTCGTGCCTGCGGAAATCAAGGAGCCCCTCTTCACATCTCAGTAAAAACCTGTAAGTACATTGACTTTCATATTTTGATATATACGTTCAAAGTACTGGAGAGCTGCCAATCTATGTGACAGCTCCAGTAACTTTCAGTACAGCTTCACCTTTGTTTATAACTGTTTGTTATGCAGTCATATTGTTGTTATGGCTGATTGTGATGGTGCTTTTAAAAAAGTAAGGAAACACTTACATGTCATCTTGGATCTTGATGTACGAAATATTCAGGCTGAACTTTTTATTTTGTTGAGAACAAATTGATGTAAAAAAAAAGAGTTGAAAACAAACCATCAACCCTTTGAGTGCTGGATTCAAAATGACTTAAAAAAATCTAATTGTTCAAGTGTTCCCTTGTTTTTTTATTCATTTGTATTTATTTATTATATTTTCGCCTGAACCAGAAGAATGAAACTGACTAATTGACTAAAAATGCTGAAAAACACTTTTTGTCATTTTTCTTTCTGTGTGTGTCTCTGCATGGAGACACACACTTCTCAGGAAACAGTGATATTTTCCACCAGAGGCTTTCATTTCCACCTCCACTTGTTGTTCTTTGCTGCCAGCGATATTATAGAAATGTTATATTGCCAAATAGCATTGTGACAATATGTAACCTATAACATTATTATAACACTTAACACTGTTTTTTGGATATCTGCATGGTTATTATTAGAAGAAGAAATCATAAAATGTGTTACTGTCATAAGAGAAAAGTGAAAACAGAAGGAAACTGGAGTTGTTTAAGTTGGTGAAGCTGTTTGGCGTCACATCCAAGACGCTTCTTCAGTTCTAACAACAACAGGTAGGAAGCCTCTTGGATGTGAAGCCAAACGGTGTCACAGCTTAAAGAAGCTCAGTTGCCTTTTTTCCGAGCTTTTAAGACTCCTGTTACCTGCATGACTGAGAATCTAGACACACAGAGATGCATTACTTTCCCCTCAGAAGTCAAAATGTAGGTCAAATCTTTATTTCTCCTCTGTGGAAGTATTTTCAGAAAAAGAACAACAAGAATACTGGAAGTGTTTTTTGTCTGAGCCACAAGTGAAGAAAGTGACTGACCCAGATTTCTGAAAATAAGAACTTAGCCACAGTTACCACCCTGAGGGAGTGAGGAGTACAGCAGTTTAATTGTCTTTAATGACTAATGCGTGATGAAGAAAAGAATCAGTGTTTTATCAAAAGGCCTGGGGTCAGTAGGACGGTCGACATTTATGTGGTAAATGTGGTTATTGTGCATAATAAAGGTTTTCTTTGTAGACGCTCAGACTCTCGATGCCACAACACGACTTACCAACATAAAGTTCACAGCTGACCTCCAGAACACCAGCAGTCAGGCCTACAAAACCCTCAGTGAGAGTATAACAGAAGAGGTAAGTATCCAGTGACTGAATGTGATGTGCAAATGAAAACACAAACTTGAGCCTGTTTCCTGTGTCACCAACCAGATCTACCAGTCTGTGTCTCCAGAGGTGAAAGCCATGGTGGATTCAGGCCAGGTCAGGATCGAGATCAGAAACTTTTCCCCGGGGAGCGTGATGGTCAACTTCACCATAGTGTTTATCCCAAGTCAAAGCCTGGACATAAGCAATGTGTCCACAGCAGTTCTGCAGTCCCTGACGAACAGCTCGACATACACAGTAGATCAAAACAGCACAAGTCTAAATGGTATGTGTCTTTATATTGCTTATTCTAATGCTGTGGGCTGTTAGTGGTACACTGCTGGGGAAATGCTTCAAAGAGGAAGTGCTGAGTTTGACATTATAGCAAATTAGCGTCAAAGACTTACTCGCGGTGTTAGCAAATGTTTTATTTTTACTGAAATCACAGCACAGAAAAGAAAGAAGGCACTGGAGGTGGCCCAATATATAAATGGGGCCATGATGGTAGAAGCAACATATTAAAACTTTCATAAATCTTCATAAAATAGATATATTGTGTTTGTGCATTTGACTAGTGAGAGTCAGGGGGCCAGCCTACTACAAATCACAGCAGTTAATGTTCGTGCTGCAGACTATAGGAGATTACATCTCTGGAGACATGCATGACGTTGCAGTATAGGCTAAGGTGAGAAGTAGAAATGGGGCCTTAATCTTCCTGCAGCAGTCATTCACAGTCTTTGTACCAAACAGTTTTCTTGGTAGCTTTTGATTAAAATATAGCCAGCAGTTATTTTATTGTTTTATTGTCCTGGGATGTCCATTAACGAGTGAAAGGCAGCTGCAATTTTCATGTCTGTTAATGTGAACCAAACTTAACTAAAACTAACTGAAAACTGAAACTCAACATGAAGAAATCATTTAACTAAACTAAAATCTAGATTTTTGAAAATAAATAAATAATTAAATGACTGAAATTATTTTATGGACCTGAAAAAAACTCACCGAACTATAGCAGAAAGTGCACTAAAAGTATTAACAAAACCTTTTTGTGTCTCAAAAGCAACATTTTGGAAATTCAAAGTAATTAAAGTAACATCTAAATCATCAGCCAATAACATAATACCTGACTCTATTTTTTTATTTCTGTGTCTGTAGATTTTAATGAATGTGCTTCGGGGGAAAATGATTGTTCCCAGTCGGCCACATGTAACAACACCTGGGGCTCCTATACATGTGTTTGCCTGTTCGGGTTTACTGACAACGACCCAGAGAGACCTGGACGGGTCTGCCAAGGTAGCTGTAAAAACTCATTTATACACATTTCATGTAAAACAGAATATCTTTGTAACCAGCGAGCATTGTCTCGTGCAGCACCTACAACCTTAGAAACAGCGGCACCGCCCCTGACGACAGCTGTAACCACTTCAACTACTGCTCCAGAAATAACCACAGACAGTATATCAACAAGTCACATGGTTTTCACAACAATCTCAACTGTTGCTCAAGCTTCCACCATCACTACCCCGACAACCAGTACTTCCCTAACAGCCATCCCCGCCTCTACAATTGCCACAACAACTGCTACCAGCTCAACAAAAAGTACCACTGCTCTGGGATCTGCCACCGACGACTCTATCCAAGAAGCCCTCTCAGTCCATTGCAGACTTGCGGCCATCACTGTGACTGTCACTAAGAATTTTCTTCTGAGCTCCATGATCCAGGAGAGTGCACTTTACTTGGGCACGGTGGGCTGTGGCATCAATGGCGGCAATGACACGCACGTGGAGCTGACCGTGGCCTGGAATGAGTGCGACACTAAACTTGTGCAAGTGAGGTTTTCTCCTCTGCATTTGGGAAACCTCCTGAATCCCCTGTGCTCTTGTTTATTGTATACTAGCTTGCCATTGTCTTCTTCAGCTAAGTACGAAGTATAAAAAAGTATGAAAACCAACACTCTGCTCTTTCTGCCGTGTCGGTATTTCAGAATGAAACCCACTACATAGCCTCTGTAAACCTGCTTAACACTATGGATCCATACACTTCACCAACGGGAGCAACAGAGGTGCCCAGAAAACAGCTGGAAGTCCCAATCATGTGTACCTACATGAAGAGCATGCTTATTTCTGCAGACCTTAGCCCCATGGGGTAAGTGCCATGGGTACTGTCACGAATACTCATTATATTTTATTATTTTTCAAATCAGTAACCCCTTGATAACTGACACAGCTGACAAATGCCTCAAGAGGAAACAGCATCGAGAGATAAAGAACTACTTCTCCAGAACAGAATACTGACACATTCAAAAAGTACCTACTTGAGCAATGTCACAGAGAGGCAGTGTTGCTGTTCAGAATATCAGCACAGCGGGGATTTGATTGCTGCTGCTGCATTTACACAGCAGTTTCACGAGCAGCCTTTATTAGCTGACAGTAACAAGCAACAACAGACTGGGATAAATTCTTTGTTAGTATATTCAGGACCCTGAACTGCGTTTCATGAACAGCTGTCATTGGTATGAAGGTTTAAACAAGAATGAATCCCAAGATAGAGGCTGATACTGTAGAGCTCCCATTTAGTTATATAAATGGACTTAACTGAGGCTGAAAGCTGCTCAGCACTCATCAGTGTTGCCACCGCAGGCTATCGCCATTCCTAAAATCCTATTGAGCATAAGTCTGATACAGTGGGGCAAAAAAGTATTTAGTCAGCCACCGATTGTGCAAGTTCCCCCACCTAAAATGATGACAGAGGTCAGTAATTTGCACCAGA